ACCAGGAGCCCCATTAGGATAAGACCTTGTCTCTCTGCCAAGTTCAAGGTCGACCCGTGAACTCCCGCCGCTGGGCTCAGGGCGCCCCATCTGGCTGACCCACTGCAGTCCTAAGTCTGGTGATGTCTGAACCGTGAGGTTGGGGCGCTGGCAAGACGCCTGTCAGGGCTCCAGTCGCCCCCGAGGCCCAGCGGGTGGGAAGCACCAGGGATGCGGGTAGGACTCCCTCCCACAAGTTCTAAGGCTGTGATCCCTTGGCTGTGAGGTGGGGCCAGAGGGCCCTGTGGGGGAAGCGACTCTCCAGCCCCAGCCCCCCTGCCCCAGCACCGCCCTCTACCAGACCCCAGGCCAGCGGTGGAGCCTGCGGGGGCGGGGGAGGAGGTTTGCGGGGGGGCACACTGGTGTTTCCACGAAGATGGTAACAAAGGGAGAGTCCTCCAGGGCCCTCCTCCCTGCCCTGGGTCCCGCCCCACTCACCGGTCAGGCCCAGGGTGGACGCGGGGCCCACGCGCCGCCCCCCGTGCAGGCCGTACAGGTGCATCTTGTACTTGCGCCCCGGCTCCAGGCCCCGCACGGTGACCTCGCTCTCCTCACCCCCGACACGCACCACCTGGGGCCGCCCGTCCCTGTCCTTGTACTGGACGGTGAAGGCGTCGAAGTGGCCCCGGGGGACGGTCCAGGACAGGCTCAGCGAGTCCGGGGAGGATCCCGTCACCGTCAGCTCCCCCAGCAGGGGCTCCTCGGGGGGCTCGGGGGCCTCCGTGCTGGGTTCTGCGGGGCTGGGGGTCTCCTCCTCTGCAGCTGAGAAGCACAGACACAGGGCGGGTGAGGCAGGCTCCATGGAGATGTGCGGGTCTCCTCCCGAGCCCCGGTCACTTCAGGGAGCCCCTCGGGGCAGCCTCACTGACATGCCCAGAGCCTGGGGTCGGCTGTGGCCGCAGCCCCCGCACAGCCCAGGGGCCCTTCTCTGCCCAGGGCCCCGCTGGTGCTCAGGGAGCCCAGGGGAGGCACAAGGGCACCACGGCTCAGCCTCGAGCAGAGGGGCCCCTGCACCCCCTCAGCCATCACGAGTGTCATCTCCCGCAGGTCCCACCGGGGCTCCCACCACCCACTCACCTGTCACCCCGGTGGCAGAGGCGGGGCCCTGGCGCTGGCCGTCGTGGAAGCCATACAGGTGCATCTTGTACTTGTGGTCCGGCTCCAGGCCCGAGATGGTGACCCCGTCCTTGTGTCCCGGCACCCGGACCGCCTTGGGCTGCCCGTCCCCGTTCTTGTACTGGACCAGGAAGTGGTCAAACTGGCCCTGGGGGACGGTCCAGGACAGGCTCAGCGAGTCCGGGGAGGATCCCGTCACCGTCAGCTCCCCCAGCAGGGGCTTCACGGGAGGCTCAGGGGTCGTGGTAGGAGGTTCTGATGGTTCCTCCTCCTCTTCCCTTGGGGCTGAAGAGACCGGGAGAGGAGAAGCACCTGAGAGAGGGCGGGTCCCGGGCCCCTGCTCTCCTGGGCCTCTCCTGCTGTGTGCAGGACGCAGGGTGGGCCGCTCCTGTCGCTCACCTGTCAGGGCCTGGACCTGGATGGGACCCAGGCGCTGCGGGCCCCGGACAGCGTACACCTTCACCAGGTAGCTGTGGTTGGGTTCCAGGCCCGAGAGGGTGATGTCATTCTGGTCGCCCCCTAAACTGACAACTTGGAGTTGCCCATCCTGGTCTGTGTACTGGACCTCGAAAGAGTCCGGTTCCCCCTCCGTGACCGTCCAGGACAGGTGCAGGGTGTGCGGGGTGGCCTCGGCCACGGTCAGCTCCCCGAGCTGGAGCTCTGACTCTGAAGGGCTTGGGGCTGTGGTCTCAGCTCCGTTGTCCTCCCTGGGGGCTGGTTCAGAGACACAGATAGAGGCGGGTGATGGGTCTGTCGCCGCCCCAGCTCCAAGGGGAGGGCAGGGGTGGAGGTAAGTGGTGACCAAGAGGGCCTATATTGCTACGCAGTGAGGCCTTTCAAATGCATGATGCTAAATGCAAGAAGCTAAACACAAAAGACTGTGTCGTGGGATCCTGCAAATGAAATCTCCAAAAGGCATAATGTGGCCGCAGCCGTGGGGCCCGAGGCTGGGCTAGCGGCACTGACTGCCAGGGGGCAGCAGCCTTAGGTTCAGAGAAATGTTTTACAGCTCAGTTGTGGTAATGCTTTGGCCCAAACTTATTGACTTATTCCCTTTAAGTGGGTGAACTTTACTGTATGTAAATTTATCCCTTTCCCCAAATAAAGGGATGTAGACAGTTCAGACATGGCGAGGCTGGGAGAGGGGGAGAGCCTGGAGGGGGCGGGACGGTCTGTTCGGCAGCCACACTCACCTGTCACAGCGAAGGCCGAGAGGGGCCCCACGCGCCTGCCCTGGTGCAGCCCGTAGAGCAGCAGCTTGTACCTGCGGGCGGCGTCCAGGCCCCAGACCCTGGCCTCCCTGAGGCTGCCCTCCACAGGCAGCACCTGGGGCCGCCCCTCCCTGTCCTTGTACTGGACCACGAAGGAGTCAAACTGGCCCTCGGGGACAGTCCATGCGAGGCCCACGGAGTCCGGTGTCACGCTGGTCACCTGCAGCTCCGCCCCCAGACGGGGCTTTGGGGGGCGCTTTGTTCCAGCGACACTCGCAGCGCTCTGCGCCTCTGAGAGGGAGACACGGAGGAGCCGGCTGAGGCATCGGGAAGGCTGGATGACCTCGAAGGGCAGGAGCGAGAGGCCCGGAGACTGGCTCTGCCAGGGCTGGTGCCATGGGCTTAGGCCAGGAGAGGGCGGGACCGATCCCAGCCCCAGCGGCTGGGACCAGGTCACAGCGGGGAAGGCAGCAGCAGGAGGAGCAGCGGCAGCCCGGCCTGCAGGGAGCCAGCCACCTTCCCGGCCGCCAGGGCAGCGGCAGCCGCCTCACCTGTGGTGCCGTCCGCGCTGAGGGGGCCGTGGCGTCTCTTGCCCAGGAGGCCGTAGAGGAGAAATCTGTACGTGCGGCCGCTGTCCAGGGGGGTGATGGTGACCGAGCGCTCGTGGCCCCCCACAGGCACCATCCGGGGCCCGTCCCTGTCCTTGAACTGGACCACGAAGGAGTCGAAGTGGCCCTCGGGGACCGTCCAGGAGAGGCGCAGGGAGTCCGGGGTGGGCTCCGTCACCCACAGCTCCCCGAGGCGGGGCGGGGCCTGCGGGCTGGCGTCACCGTGGGCAGCTGGCAGAGAGGACGGTTCTGCGTTTATGTTCCAGAGTGACTCCTTCAGGCCTCTCATGGAGTGCAAACCCAGAACTGCCCAGATGAGCAGTGCGTCCCTCACCTCTCACCTCCCCCCACACCATCCCGCTGCCTGCGCCTCTGCCCACTTGCGCCAGGAGGGGCTCTGTCCCCAGGCAGCTCTGGGCAAGGGCCCCCGATGCTGCCCTCTGACTCCTCGTGCTGCCCGGCTCTTCCCACTGATCAGACTGGCAGGCATGGCGTTTCTCTCCTCTGACCAAGGAGCCGCTCTCGCGGATTTGCCTGGCCTCTGGGGACATCAAAGGGCCCAGGACCCCTGACGGGGGGCGGGGTGCACAATGTGAGGATGGAGGTGACCCTCACAGGCCCTGGTGGAGGGGCTGCCCTGAGTGAGGGTTGGGGAGAAGACGGGGAGCTCAGACAGGGGACCGATCTGTGTGTCAGCAGGAAGCCACCCTGAGGCCTGGGAGGAGCTGGCGTGCTGCCTCACAGATGGCAAGGACGCTGACCACGTTGTTGCTACTGGAGTTTTCTGGCAACAGAGAGCCCCTGGGGCAAGGGGGGCCCAGACCGAACCCAGGAAAGGGGCAGCCAGGCCGCCAGCCCTGGGCTCCTGGGGTCCCGTCTCCAGGCTCCGAGAGGAGGCCAGGGGAGGACAGAGGTCCTGGGGGCAGATATGGGACCCATGGGCCTGAGCCAACAGGGCGAGAACTCGGGTGAGAGTCGGAGGGGAGATGGCCAGACCCCCGGGCTGAGGCCCCCGGGCAGGGAGGCGGGGCTCTGCTCCTTTCTCCCCTCCCAGCACCTGTCCCAGGCCCCACGTCCTGGAGGGGGTTAGGGCCTCCCCTTCACAGGCGTAGGGTTGTGAGAAGATGGGAAGTCTGCCCGGCTGTCAGGGGCCTGGGGGGTGGGGGGCTTGTCCAGTGAAACAGGAGCACAAAGCGGGGCCTGGCGGCAGGACAGGAGACCAGGCGGGTGAAGAGGGGCCTCAGCTAGTTTCAGGGGGTCCCTCTCACCTGTCTTTGCCTCCACAGAAACGGGGCTGCGTCGTTTCCCTTCCTGGATCCCAAAGAGCAGGAACCTGTACTTCCTGTTGGGCTCCAGGCCGGGGACAGTGACCGCGCGCTGGTCTGCGGCCACAGGCACCACCCGGGGCTGCCCGTCCCTGTCCTTGTACTGGACCACGAAGGAGTCGAATTCACCCGCAGGAACCGTCCACGAGAGGCCCACGGAGCTCGGGGTCACATCTGTCACCGTCAGCTCCCCCAGGCGCGGCTCCTGGGGGGACTCTGTGGCTGGAGCTGGTGGGAGGGGCGCTGGGTGGGGGAGGACAGAGAACAGGGCTGAGCGCTCTGAGGGACAACTGCCCCCCAGGGCTCCGGGCTCCCAGGGCCAGGGAGGGGCCTGCGGTGGGAATCAGCCACCGCTGCACCGTGGCTGCCTCTATCTGAGCGGTGCATTTCCTTCCGGCGGACACAGGAAGCAGCCACGGTGGCGACAAAACGGGGCCGCGTGCTGACCTGAGGAGCTCATGGTGGGTGGTCTTATCCTAGTCAGTCTCTCCCCTGACTAAGTCCATCTGCACCTTAACTGAGCCGTCTATTGTCCTTCTGCATCTAGGATAACACAGCCGATAAACGTGCCTTCACGGTCACAAAGCAATGTCCCTGCTTCCTTTGGACCCCTCGTAGCACAGCCACCGCACCAGAGCGGACCCACACTGCCACTGTTCTGTGCTCATCGATGACTGCTAACTGTCTGCACCACCTGAGTGAAAGCAGCATGTGTCTATCATTTCACTCCCTATCCAATCCCAGAGGTGTCCCCCATTCGCTTTCCCCGCCCCCTCACCTAGCACCAGTGGATTTCATGTCGCCCACTTACGGCTTCTCTTTTGATCGTAATGTATAAAGCAGGGTGCAGAAGTGCCATTTTCAGGGGCATTTTCTCAATTCATTGAGATTCTGCTTCCCAGCAATTGTCATCTGTTTGGTTCTGATAAACTCACAAAAATTCTCAACAGGTTTGAACATTTCTTACATGGACAATGGTGGTCCAGCAGCACCTGTGACTGTCTTCACATCACCTTAGAGTTACTGCCCAACCACGGGTTACGCGCGTCAGCACGTCTACAGGTGCCCAAGCCTTCTTATTTAACGGGCGGGTAAAGAAGTCCCTGCACTCCGAAACCTTACATTTGAATTTAAAAACATTTTGATAACTGTATATTGACATCGTTTTCCTTTGTAATTCCATGCATCTTATTTTACAGTTTTTACTTTTATTTCTTAATCCTCACCTGAGGATATGTTTTCCATTTATGAGAGAGAGAGAGAGAGAGAGAGAGAGAGAGAGAGAGAGAGAGAGAGAGAAAGAGAGAGAGGAAGGGAGAGGGAGAGAGAAACATTGATGTGAGAGAGAAACATTGATTGGCTGCCTCCTGCTTGCACCCAACGAGGGATCGAACTCACAGCCTGGGCATGTGCCCTGACTAGGAATCAAATCCACAACCCTGCGGTGCACAGGATGCCGCCAACCAGCAGAGCCACACCGGCAAGGGCTTATTTTACGGTGTTTTTAAATATATATTCTTATTGCTTTCAGAGAGGAAGGAAGGAGAGAGAGTTAGAAACATCAATGATGAGAGAGAATCATTGATCAGCTGCCTCCTGCACACCCCACACTGGGGATTGAGCCTGCAACCTGGGCATATGCCCTTGACCTGAATCGAACCCAGGACCCTTCAGTCCGCAGGCCGACGCTCTATCCACTGAGCAACACTGGCTAGGGCTATTTTACGGTTTTTAAAACAGTGCACACACATTGCAGACACCCTGGCACACACATGGTGGAAACCAGTCCAGGAAGTCATGAGGGCAGGAAGGCCTGGGCGCCAAGCATAGGGGCCACTTCTAGAGGGGCTGGGGGGGGGTGTCCACTTGAATCCTGTCCACTTCCTGCGACAGGATTCAGGGGTGACTGCCACTTAACCCCAACAAAGTGGGCGGCAGCGGAGGTGGCAGCCATGTCCAAATCACAAAGGGCGTGCGGAGAGCGTGGAGGACCCTGTTAGACTCAGAGAGGGAGAGGGGCATCTGCCCTGGAAGTGGGGCAGGTGAGAGGGAGACAGGCCAAGGGTCTCTGGGGGGGGGGGGGGGGGCAAGGTCCAGCCTGCAGAGGGAGGCGGGGGCAGGACCTGAGAGAGATGGTGTGGGGGCTCTGGAAAGCCATGGCTGGGGCCTGCCTGGCCCTCACTCACCTGTCACAGCTCCCACAGAGAGCGGGCCCAGGCGCTGCCCGCCGTGGAGGCCATAGACGAGCATCCTGTATCCGCGAGCGGGCTCCAGGCCGGGGACGGTGGCCTCACGCTGGTCTGCGGCCACAGGCACCACCTGGAGCTGCCCATCGCTGTCCTCGTACTGGACCATGAAGGAGTCAAACTGGCCCTCGGGGACGGTCCACGCGAGGCCCACAGAGTGGGGGGTCACACCGGTCACAGTCAGCTCCCCCAGGCGCGGCCCCATGGGCGGCTCGGTGGCTGCAGGAGCGGCTCCCGGTGGTGGAGCTGAGAGAGTGGAGGCAGCTGTTAGGAAAGCCCTCCTCCCCTGGGTGGTGACCACGTCCACTGTCCTCATGGTGCCCGCGAGGTGGTCGGACATCAAACTCTGATGGGCCCAGAGCCCTTCCCTCATTCTTCCAGGCCCTGGGGCTTTGGGGGGCTGCCAGCCATCACTGAGACCTGGGAGAGCGGCCTTAGTGGCCCTGCCGCCTGGACTGTTTGCTCAGCACACTCAGCCGTCCACACCGAGCCCAGCCCCCTCAGCTGCTGCCCCTCGGCCTGCCCACCGCACCTCCAACCCCGCCAGGCCCAGGAGCAAGTCCTGGGGGCACTACCTGGGGAAGCTGCTGCTGCCCACCCACTCCACCGCCTTCGCCAGGCAGCGCCAGCTCTCACGGACCACTGGACCGTCCCCGAGATGGCCTGCCTCGCCCTCACCCTCCGCTGCTCCCACTGTTAGCAGGCGGTCAGAGGTGCCCATCTCATCCAGAGCAAAGCCACGCCCTGACGGCGGCCTCCAGGCTGCACATCCACCTCGCACCCCCCCAATTCCGGAACATTCCTCGCCGGTCCTTCCCTCTGCCCCGAGTGCTGTCTCCAAGGGCCTGGGTGGCATGTGCTCGTCCTCCTTCCTCAGCTGGGCCCTTCCCACTACCTTCCCATCACTTCGCCTTCCTGGGCCCCGGCTGGGTTCCCTGCGAATGTTCATGTGGCAGCGCTGGACGGGCCTGTGCCCGGGTTCGGTCTCCCCCCGCTGGCACGGACTCAGCAGCAGGGAGCCCTGGCTGTGCCCCCGCACCAGTGGTGTCACCACACGTTGGGCTAAGGTTAACGCGTGGTGGATCGGCAACCGGATGAACCAGGGAGGTCGGGGTTCGATCCCCCGTAAAACGGGAAGGGGGCAGCCAATCCATGATTCTCTCTTCCTCACTGAATGGTTTCTATCCCCTCCCTCCCTCC